TGTTGATTTTGTTACCTGTCACCCGCCTGCGACAGTACTGCCGTTGGACAGGTGCGGAAAGCTTCTGTAATAGCCACGCACACCAGCCGGAGCAGCTTGCTCACCCTTTGCGCTTAAACTAGGCTTGTCCCACGCAGGTAATTCTCTACGAAGGTTGCTTTTCACCTTGTTTACTGACATTTCTCCCATATCTCGGTTATCTCCGGAGCTCGATTGGCTTCGGTGTGGCTTTCTAGTAAGGCATACATAAGTCACTCAAATATGCATAGTACAGCGACTGGCTTGGTTATGTTAAATGAAAAGACACTAACGCTCCATTGAGACCAGATGGAGAAGGAAGTGGCTTCACTTAGCATCTCCAATAAGGAACGAATTGCGTGCTTTAAGCGGCTGCAGCACCAAACAATAAGAATGAAAAATATGTATGTGAAAAGATAGCCTCATCAGTCGGCGTGATTAAAGATTGGTTAAGCAGCTTTGGGCTCAAACTACCCGAGCAAAAAAACTGAAACAATACTCATATCAGACTGTAAGAAGTTAGAGGAGGTAGCGTTGAAAATGTGTGACCACTTTATCATGACGAAATCCACAATTTAATACTTAGGAGTAGTGTAAGACAAGCGTTTTACTTTCAGCGCGCACTTGAGATATGTGAGAGAGAAAGGAGCTTCAATGATCACGGAACTATCGCGAATAATGCTTAACATGCGGGGACCGAAATAGCACAAACGTTAGCTCTTAGCGAGTCTGATCAAGGGCCAAATACTTCATGAGGCCCCAATTTGGTCGAACGCAACACAGTGTCCAGCATACTTCCGCGGAGTCAACTCAACATACCGTTTGTGGGCGCTCCGAGTTTAGAGCGTCTACAGAATAGTTTCAGATGAAGCAGCTTTCGTAATCGTCATTATGACAGCTGTGGATATACTGGCGAGAGAATCGACGCTTCTTGCATCCGCTAATTTAAATTGGCCAACGCCGAGTTCGGAAAAGCAGCATTACGGAGTTGCAAAACAAGTGGAATAGTACAATTAAGGGTCGTGGAACCTATCGCTGCATACAAAATCAGGTATCCTGGATGAATAGATTTTTACCTGTGTCAGTTCTTGAGGGGGCATGGCTATTTTAAGGCATAACTGTTTAAATTCAAGCATAAGCACGACCCGTACTGTGAATACTGCGGATGTAGCGTGGAAGAAGATGTCCGCCACATATTCCTTGAGTGCCCTTGATTCAATCGGCAGATGAACCAATTTATACTAGCTGTTGGATGGGTCTTTACGCCATAGTCAGTAGTCGACTATATGATGAAAGGAGGTAGTGAATGAGCATCAACCAGCGACATACTAACTTCAGTTCAGAAACACATGAGAAGCCTCGAGTGACAGCAGCGTATCACCAGTAATTAAACCAACTGAAATCGTAGCCGCGAATTAGAACCAAACCACGAAGTTCACCAACCAAAGCGTAGGCGCGGACTGGAACCTAGGCTATTCCAGCCGCCAATGCAGCGCGCGGATTTGTAATTCATGCACCCGGAGAGCAGGTGCGGTGTGGACTGGAACCTAGGCCGTTCCAGCCGCCAAGGAAGTGCGGCTTCAAATTTTAATAATTTTAAGATATTTGTTCTTGCTATTTATAATAGCGAAATTATAATTTGTATTTGTATCTAGTAAGAATCTAAAAACAATAAAGTTTTTTGGTTTACAAGGACGAATAGATATTGAAAATGGGCTTCTAATAAATTTTATATTTTTAAGTTAATAAAGTTTGCAGGACGAAATTTGATAATGATAAATAATGATAATGACAATAATTAAAAAAAATATTAAGCAAATTTTCAAAGATATTTAAGGACAAAATTTGTAAAGGACATTTTCCATAACCATTCGTTCTTATGCACCAATGTTATGTTATTTTATAATTATACAGAACTTTTTCTTTTATATGATACTTTTACCTTTGTCGGCCGCTGTGGTGTAGTGGTAAGCAGTGCGCACTTTCACTCAGCAACGCCTGGGTTCAAGCCCTGGTCAAAGCAACATCCCAAAAAAATATAGAAAAAAGGTTTTTTCTTAACAGCGGTTGTCCCTCGGCAGGCAATTGCAAACTTCCGAGTGTATTTCTGCCATGAAAAACAGCTTCTCATTAAAATACAATCGCCGTTCGGAGTCGGCGTAAAACTGTAGGTCTCTCTGCTTTGTGTGACAACATCAAGGCGCACGCCACAAATCGGAGGAGAAGCTCGGCCAAACACTAACATATGTGTAAGCGCCAATCTATTATTATATTATGATACCTTTATTGTTATATGTACTACATTGCATTGAATTTGTTAAATACTTTTTTGAAATAATCATATTTTTTAAATTTCAAAATCGTTAAAAAAATTCTGACGTCAGAGAGAAAAACTTAGTGCGCATTTTTGCTATAATTTACCCATAGTTTCGCAAATGTATTCATATTTTTGTGTGTAAAATTTACTTCCGCGCGGTGAAATAGTTAAAAAAGCTCTTTTTCTTTAAACAAGACTTGGCAAAACCTACTAGGTGTAGCTCAGGACTGAGTACAACCGACTGGGACGAGCCTGCGAGCCTAGTGCTCAAACCACCTACCGAAGAAATACTCGACGGTGGTACTTGCAGAAGGCTTAGTTCGGGTTAAAGTCCCACGCTGACTATATAGGATATTCTGCGTCGCAACCGTAGTGTTAATTGCCATTTCAACCCCCACACCATTCCCACCGTACGCACGTATGTACGTACAAAAGTACATACATCTGTGTTATAGATGGTACAATGAATAAGCATCACTGGTTGTTTAGCAAAATACAGTGCATTCCGGTCATAATGGACTCCATGGGATCGCGTCACATTGTCCTTTATAACCGAGTGTCAATTTTATCAGAATACAATATTTTTAAATAATAAAGAAATAATGTACATGTTTAAATACAAAATTATATACTTTTCATGGAAGGTAAGTGTCCGTTTTTCCGTTCCGGCATTTTCCTTAAAGTGAACAAATCACAGATCAAAAACCAACCGTCCCTTACAATCTACCGCAGAAGCTGATTGCCTATTTTGACAGATTTCCGTAAACCAATGAACTTTGTCTGGCGGCCGCTGTGGTGTAGTGGTAAGCTGGGTTCAAGCCCTGGTCAAAGCAACATCGCAAAAAATTTAGAAAAAATGTTTTTTCTTAACAGCGCTCGCCCCTTGGCAGGCAATGGCAAACCTCCGAATGTAATTCTGCCAAACCAGCTTCTCATAAAAATACAAATGCCGTTCGGAGTCGGCGTAAACTGTAGTTCCCTCCACTTTGCGTGACAACATCAAGGCGCACGCCACAAATCGGAGGAGAAGCTCGGCCAAACACTAACATATGTGTAAGCGCCAATCTATTATTATTATTATTATTATTATTATTATTATTATTATTATTAATGAACTTTGTTTAAGTATATAGACATTTTCTGTAACGGAGACGGTTGCATCTCTTTACTGAGTCCTGAGAATTACCGGACTTTTGTTGGGAGACTTTTTTTAATTTGGGCTGACAGCCCCGGTTACAGTGGCCAAAAACCGATATTTTTGTCTATTATAGGCGGAGTCCATTATAATCGAGTCTATTTTAACCGAGTTTTTTTATATATTTGAACTGGGACAAATAGATATATAATAACAGGGTTTCCATTTTAAGCGAGTCCATTATAAATGGATTACACTGTATCTACTCAAATATGTAAGTATGTATTTGCGTTTGTACTATCTGCGAGCTTCGCGAGGGTTGATCGCTTATGATTTTATGATGATTTTAGCGAATCAATACTAAGTAGATGCTTTTTTCCTATACATACATACATACATATGTACTATATACTCACAGTATCGATGCAATGCCAATAAAAAATGATTGATATATTTGTAAAAAAAATACTTTCCTACGGCTGATTGGCTGGCTCCCTGACCGAGTTAATCAGCCAATAAAAACGAATCGCCGACTAAAAATTTTAATTATCGAATACTTAAAATTTGTTTTTGTTTTGTGTTTGTCGAAATATGTATGTATTTACATACCTATGTACATATGTATGTGAGTACATGTAAAAACAAAAACTATAATGAGTTTAATAAAAATGTTATTCACCTTGGTTTCTGTTGACATCAGGCGACGAATCGCTTCGGTCCGACTCTTGTTGTGTTATCGACATTTGTTCTTTGGGTTTCTACTTTCTTGAAAGATTGTGGCTCGGCTTTGTTGATGCAGCTGCAGTTGTACCCTGTGTACTATTGGTGTTGGTGATTGTGTGAGTGATGCTGCTAGTAATTTCGGTGCAAGCGCTGTTTTGCTGGTTGCATATTAAGAAATTTTTTTTTGTTGTGTTACTTATTTGTACTTTTTGTAGTTCCTAAACTAATTGACGATGCCTAGATTCTCTTTGTTCTGAGAATATCAACGTCAAATTTATCTTCACTTAGTAAATGCTCTGTAAAAAGGTTTAATCTCCACTGTCATGTTTTTATGTATTTCATTTGGGTTTACTAATATTTTAAAAATTCACAGCATAAACAGTTTCACTCTATGTTTCTTATTAATTTTACTGGTCTCCACTAGCTTAATTTTTTTGCGTCGTTGCCAATTGGCCAACGTTCTATTCTTTTTATCAATGAGTAATACGATCAACTTCCGTCATTCTTCACCTATGCACCGACGCGACGGACACAAACTTCTACACTGACGCTCAGTCAATTTGTATGCCTTCCAAGAACTTCCAAAAATTTCATTCAAATATTTTTCCCAAAGTTGTTGTCTGCAAGTGAAACAACAAAAATACCATCTATGAAGTCCAACTTTAGGAACCGAAAACGTCACTACCACAACAAAACAAACGCAATAATGACGACTTCTGATGACGCTTACTTCGCGACTGACGATTGACTAGAAACGCCAAACTAGAAAATCACAATAAAATATAACTGAGTGGTTGCTGCCCTCACCGCTGCTGCTGCTGCTGCTGCCGCGGCCGCGTCCGCGTCCGCTGTCGCTGTCGTCACTGCCCTCGTCATCTATGAGAACCCGAAATCCCAAATCAACAGCAAACCAAATAGAATTTGAAATCAACATTGAGCTATGTAGTCAGTGTTGCCACAGTCAATTTTTTTCCTACCAAAACCTACCAAATTTTTTTGAGGTTTAATTTTTTTCCTAATGTCAAGTTTATTAAATATGTAAATAATAATTTAGTAAAACTAAGACACCCCTAGTACAATAGAAATAAATGTGTGTCTCTCTACACATTCATATTATAATTATTATTGGGTCGGGGGTACTTCCGCTGCGATCTAAGAAGGTCTATTGCGCTTAACCCTAATTGTAATCACTCCAGTCCTAGTCTATTTAAGAAGTTAAGCACTTGGAAAGGAGCCATGTTTCAAATTTTGGGATGAAGAAGACAGTCGGAACGTGTTTCAGTATGCTATCTATGATACTTGGGCAGTCACATAGAATATTATCTGGGGTCTCCTCCACCAGCTCACAAAAGGCTAGGACAATTTGGGCTCCACGCTTTGCGAGACAGTCAATGCTTTTTTTGCCTTCAAATCCTTCATGTGCCGGAACGCACCACAGCGTTACGCTATTGTGGTCTTCCAAGTGGTTCAAAAGCTGTCCATAAGCCCGACGCTGTTTTAAAAACTGCTAAGGCCTTTATCCGAAATAATATTTATTTTGGACAGATGGGGCCATCTAAACAGACTTCGATTGCGAAGACTTCCGCCTGGAATATACATAGTTGGGTATGTGCACTTGGAAGTCATTGTGCGCTCCAGCAGGTCTCTTTCAAAAAAAATAGAAAAAGTAGGAACGCCTGTAATGAAACCAAGGGCATCCGTTGGACAGGTGCCCATAGCTCCTGTGATGGCCACGCGGACCAGTCTGTGCAACTAGCTAAAGGTGGCACCCGCCTTTGCTTGCTTAGCTCTTGGCCACCAGGCCAGTGCCGTATATGTGACAACGGGTCTTACTAACGCATTGAATACGTTACTTTTGGCGATATTCACCAAGTCTTACCATGGAGTCTCCGGCAGGTGGACAATAGTGGACTTCAGAGAGTTTATTGATTATAGTTTTAGATGAGTCCAATGGATGCTTAGATGTAGGCACATAAAGTATATACCTTGGATCTTCATATTGTATATACATATATGTATTGTCAATAATTAGGGTTACCGTTGTACTTACTAAGTATATTCACATCTTTAAGATCGCCGTTATACGAATGCACCGATGAAATATTTGTGTAAACCAGGTTGCTAAAATGTTTGGAGATACATATCTTATATTTTTCGCCAATAACTATTATTGTCGCGGAACCTACCAAAAACCAATCTAGTCTACCAACCTACCAAATAGAAAAAAAACCTACCGGTTTTGGTAGAAAAAGCCCATGTTTGGCAACACGGTATGTAGTCCCGTCTAGGCCTACGCGTGCTTGTATTTGTGTAAATATGTATGCACGTATATTTGTATGTATTCACGCACGTTGTAGGTATGAAGGTGAGGGATGTGGTATTTCTGTTGCTGACACTGCCGGCAGCGCGCCATACGCAGCTAGACGCAAGCATTAGATACATTATGGGCATGTAGGTATGTATGTACGTCATCTATCCAATAGCCACTTGCATAGCACTCAACAATGGCAGCAGCGTTTGCACGAACACGCACACAAACACACACACATTCATACACCAACACACGCACATCTTTTGTAGACGATCGCTCATACGCATTTGTCCCGAATTCGCTGTGCGTGCATTTATCTACGCCGCAATAACCGAAGCGAGGCGAAATAAGGCTGTACGTGCGTTTTATTGTAATAGATTTGTTTTAAGAGGCGTTGAAGAAAATGAACGTGCCTGGAATGTATACGATGTCATCCCCTATATAATTTATCTAGCCTAGACGATAATTTGTTACGCTAGCTCTCCGGTGCATACATATGTATGTATGTACATACATACATATGTAGCTAGAGGGTAGCAATGACCCGTGGCAGAGTTTCGAATTGCACTACTTTTGATGACTAAGCATCAAGGTGGTTTTCTTCTATTTTCATGGTCGCAGTCCTAATGCATTTGGCAACTGGTTGAAAATGAAAATTAATTTTCTTTATACATATGAATGTATGTACATATGTATATACATACGGATTTATGTACCACATTTATGTATGTACATATGTACATATTTATCTAGTTAGTTAAAGGTGAAAATTTTAATGCAGTGGAAAATTTGTGATGAACTACTTTTAATTTCAGAGTTGAAGCTGAGTCGTACTTAAAAATGACTCGCATTATTTTGTAATATACATTAGGGTGTCCCGTCAAAAAATTTTTTTCAGCTACACTATCGCAAGAGGTATCGAAATTTTCGTAATTTTACACATGTTAGGAAAAAGGCAAAAAAGTCAGAATTGTGTGTCGTTTTGAGGGCTCTACCACACCATGAAGTTTTGCACGTATTTTATATGAGAAAAATCACTTCTTCGTAGAAATAGAGATAAAATCCTTAAAAGTCAATATTTTTCAATTTGCAAATTCTTTTTCTTTTTAGGAGACTTCAAAGAATAATATCCAGTTATTTATTTAACCTTTTTTAATATTAATGATTTTTTTATGGTTCCCCCATTTAATTATTTTGGGGATTTTGGGGACCTATAAAAAATAGTTAGTATTAAAAAATCGTTAAGTAAACAATTAGGTATTATTCTTTGAAGTCTCCTAAAGAGAAAAAGAGTTTTCAAATTGAAAAATATTGACTTTTAAGGATTTTATCTCTATTTCTACGAATAAGTGTTTTTTCTCATATAAAATACGTGGAAAACTTCATGGTGTGGTAGAGCCCTCAAAATGACACACAATTCTGGCTTTTTTACCTTTTTCTTAACATGTGTAAAATTGCGCAAATTTCGATACCTCTTGCGATAGTGTAGCTCAAACAAATTTTTTGACGGGACACCCTAATATACATACATACGTACATACATTAAGGATTGTCTTACTTATATAGTTGATTGCGGCTGGCGTTTAATAATTTTTATACCCGATTACATTTGTGCACATGCGATTTATGACCTTGTTCGCATAGCGGTGATTTGAAGCAGGCTAAAACGACCCTGCAAAAAGTGGGACTAGGTTAAATACTAGTGCGGGACCACGCTACCTTGTAACCAACACTAGTAACCAAAATTATCCAAATATATGGAGAAAATATGGTTACATTAACATTACGATGTCATTGGACCTGACCACCTCTGGTCCAACACTGCATAACATGGGACCACCTATACAACTACTCCTTTTGGACCATGGCACATTCGACAGCCCAGTCATGTTGCCGATGGGCCACGAAGGGGTCGTTCTCAACACATATACATATATCAGTTTTTTACGTTTGAAGTAGTCCAGGTAAGCATAAAAAGTTACTAGTATGCAACCAGGTCCTTTTGCACATACTTTAAAACTACGACCCAGTGGACCCTGGTCCTCAAATTTTTGCAAGGTATGTACACCTTACAGCATAAATTACCTTGTTCCGTTCAAACTACTTCACATAAATGAAGTACGTTGACATTTTCTTTCGTAATTTCAATAGATATGTGTACGTAAGAGTGTGTGGTTAGATTAAAAAAAAAATAAAAAATGGTTGCATACCTACAGGCATTTTTTTTAAATTTCCTCAACAGTGGGGGCTAACATACATAAATTAAAAATCTTTATTTTCTCTTCAGGTTGTTCTTGATTTATGATAAATTATCTAATTTATATTTAATTTATTGACAGATTTTACAAACCGAAATTACTTGATTTCAGCATGATTTCCTTATAAATTACAAATGAGCCGTAAATTACGATAATGTGAACATGCTTTAAGAAAATCAAGTAAGGTGTAGACTTATACTTATTTATATGACCAAATGCAGGAGAGTGTTGGAGTATGGTTATGGTGCATCTACAGTTACGCGAGGTCAGCACAGAAAGAGAGAGAGAGAGAGAGAGAGAGATTTGGCGGAGACACTACAACATATTCCGTTTAAGAGCTGACTAAATTCAGCATGTCGCACATGTTCTTCAGAAGAGTATTCATTAAAATTTGTTCATTAGTCTCAAAAGACAAAGAAACTTTTCCGAAGCTTCAACTTAATGAGCTTTCTTGCCACTTACATCCTCTCTAGGAAGGGTAGGCCCCGGCGAATTTCTACATGGACGCGACGAAGCTTCATGGAAGCGCCGGTGCAGCGGTTTTTTTATGCAAGGAGCTTGCCTCAAATCTCAAATTTATAACAAAACTAACAGTTTAAATGACTAAATTACTCGCACACATCTGTCCGATTCTTCTAGTGCAACTCGCCTCTGACCTAAAGCTTGGGGTTTTCAGACGCACTCTTCAACCAAAATCAAACACGAAGTACCTTGGACCTTGGAATCGTACTGGACAGCAAACTGTCGTGGAAACTAAATGTGAAAGAGCGGGTGAGGAAAGCCTAGGCAGCACTCTATACATGCAAGTGGATGTTGGGCTGCACTTGGGGACTTTCTCCTGCTCAGTACTCTTTTATGGCATATTCGTATGGCGGATAGCAACGGAAAAGAATACATAACTGGAGAGTGTTTACAGGCTCTAAATGATCAATATAGTAGCTGCCTTGAGGACAACACCAACGGCGGCGCTCCACGCAATTCTACATATGCCACATAGCGTTTACAATTTCCGCGAAGCTTTATGCCGCAGTGCAGCTTGGATTCAGAACGTAGGTTAACAGTAGTATAGCGTCGTACTTAACCGGGCGAATAGACTACGCGATCCCGCGTCTGAGTTTCGAAAGGTTTCTAGAAGCTACTGTAGAAGTTGACGGTTGGCGTAAAGGCGTGGAACGGAAAGGGAATGTAACGCACGTCTACAAGGACGGTTCTAAAATGGACAAAGGATTAGGGACTGCAGTATATTGCACAGAACCGATAACTTATAGGTCATTTAGGCTACCAGATTACTGCAGTATATATCAAGCCGAGGTCTAAGGAGATACTACAAAAGATACTACTTTCATATAAAACAAATTGGATCAC